ATTCTAAATCTGACAAATTTCTTATTCCCATCGATAAAGCCAAAAGCTGTGTCCAATATACTGTACATGTAAACGAAACCTATCAGCTTGGATATACTCGAGAGAATAACAGCGCAGACATCTATCTTTTTGAATTTGTCGACGGGCTAGAAGTCTCCTATCCTGTATCTGTAAATTCATCTAACGAAATCCCGGAGCATCTTCCTCCATTATTTACTGAGCCCGGATACTCTGAACAACTTATGGCTCTCGCTACTAATGCACTAGAGAGCCTTGCGATGCGCATAGACCAATGGCTTCGTGCCTGTCAGGAGGTCATCGATACGGACTTCGTCTGGCGATCATTGACCGCGCACAGAACTTCCTCTTCATTAAGGCGACAAATATTCACTCTTCTAACCACCTTAGTTCCAGATGCAGAGTTGTCCGAAGGTTTTGATTGCACATCACCCGATGTTGACAGGCTCCTGTACAGATTGATATGCCAATTGAGCAGTGACCCCCACTTGGCCCAGACTGCCTTTGATGTAGATAAGGATACGCCCAAGAATTCAGTACCTCTGATTTCCCTTTGCCACGAACCTGAACACTGTCTGCGAACACTTCGGGAAATGGTTATCACGCTTCTTCATCTGTTGTTACCCAAGTTAGAATTGCCGGGCTCTTTTGACATTGAGAAGGACCTACCGCATCTGATAGATGCTGTTTATTCATACAATCCACAGGTCTGCGATCTCGATTGAAGGTACCCGCATTCCTTTCTTTGTATATAACGATTCAGCTATTTTACACCAATTTCCGCTTATGTATATTAACCCAGCAGACATTTATTGTGTACATATTTTAATCTTTGGTTGAGTGGGCCTGGCTTTTAGCCATGGCATCAGCAAGTACCAGTTTAACCCATTTGAATCAAGGGTAAGGTAATTTTGCCGGCCCGAGGATTTCAAGTTGGCGAATCTATTTTGCTAATTGTGTACATAGTGCAATTGGCCCGCACACATTTCTAGCAGGCTTTACTTCCCATATTGAGAGAACGAATCTACATTTGCCAAACGCATTTTATTCCATGTACTTAACTTAATAAATCAGAGATTTTTATCACGACCCACCATCTAAAACGGCACGCCTATTCAACACGAGTCATCTCTGGAACCCAGGAAGAGTATAAGATATTTCGATGCGGTGAGGTTTTTACTTTACAAAATATATAAATTAGTACAGGGCCAATGAATACAGTTGAGTGGGACGAAGTTAACAATGAGTGAGGGAACTAAGCCGTTCGGCTTTGTTCCCCTATTATTGGGTACTGAGCATTTACATTCATGATTGGTTCATAACTTTTAATCGATAAGTCATATACCTGAGATACCTTATATTTTGCGAGATTCGAATATCACTGAGTATTAACTCCTCACTCCATGGCAAGTCGTGTCATAGAGGTTTTTCCCAAAGCTGTCAGGATCTGTTGTCTCATCATGCTAAGAGAACGGACCTCACGCGTCGATTCCTTGGGCTACTGGGTCGTGCAAGACGAACACTACGGAATCTGAAAGAGCGAATTTGTTTTTAAAAGGATTATTAGGTTTACAAATTTGGAAGTAACATTTCTGGGATGTTTTCAAGCATAAGTCCTGTGGATACTGGTGCGGTTGTTAGGGTCCCAAAACGGGCTGTCATGCAAGTTGATACTTTACAAAGTGTGAAGACGAGTCGACGCAGGGTGGAGTCAAAAATAAATTTGTCGAATACATTGACCAATATCAGAGTAAGTGTGCTCGATACTAAGGTGTGTACCTTAGCAACGCGACTATGATGTAAATTTAAGTCTCAAAAATATCGAGAGATGATAGGCTCATTAATGACTCATTACTAGTTACTCTAGCCAGACAAATAAAAGATAGCTACGATCGTTATATAAAAATAGCATCAGTTGGCCCCAGAATGAGGCTTGTTTAAGTGTGCTTAGTTCCTGAGGCTAATTGTAAAATCCGAAAAGTCCAAGTTTAATTGTCTGAAGCAATGGGCATAGATAAAGGTCACTTCGTTCCTAGCGAAGTCTATAGTACCTGGTAATACATTATTGTGGTAGTAAGTCCACTTAAAGGCCACTGTCAAGGCGAATGCTTATTGATTGCCCTTATTTATTGACGACAATATATGCGTGATGGACTTAGACAAAATTTGGCCAAAAACTTTTCTAAATGGTAGTTAAATTGGCCAAGACATGAATAGATGATGGGTGTAATTTTTGTGGACATGAAGAATAATCAGACTGAGGTATTATATCTGAACATTACAGCATTTTTCCGTGCGCATAAACTACTTCGTCTCAGAAAGAGTTGATGGGCCAGCCGGCAATCTGCAAACTTTCGGGCTGACTTCGAGAGAGGGTATTGAGTCAACTTGGGTGATGTCTGCTCTCGGCATTGAAGCATCCGCGTCCCCATATGCCTTCTAATAATAAGAAACAAGATAAGAGCAGAGTAAGTACGTGCTCGGAAACTTCTAAAGTTCTCTCAAAGCTCAAGATTGTTCAATGAACACAATACAAAGCGGGAGGTCAATATTTGAATTTGCGAGGGAAGATAGGCCAGACAAATAATATTCCTCAGCTTATTTTATTTAAAATTAAATCTTCTTTAATTCAGGATAAGCTAATCGAAGATGACGTGGACTCTGGTATCGTCGCAGTCTACTTTCGATTTATAGAAGTGGGTTGACCAAACTTGGTCTCGATGTCTTGGAGACTTAATAGAGCGCACCTAATAGTAGTTGTCATGATTACCAGCATCAAACAGTGGACTTGGCACACTCAAAGGTTTCGCCGGCATCATTAGTCAGTTTTGTCATTCTCCGCAACAAGCTACGAACTCGTCAGAGGCAAGTGAAGTCAATCCCTCGACAAACGTCCCGTCGAAAACGGTTACACTATCACTCCTATTTCTTCATTGGCCTATCTATATACTCTTTACCCTCTTAGCAATCGCTCACCCTATCACAATTTCTACTTTGTTTACATTCCACTTGTCGAAATGTGTGCCCTTTATGGTAAATGTAGTGTGGCCTTATCACACCTGTTATTCACATCGACCCTCTCGATCGGCTAATCCGACTCGGGCATTCTATCCGGATCTCCATCATAGTGC